CCGAAGCTAGGAACTTCCTATAGCAGAGCACTTTGGGAAATTCCCCTGGTCCTGAGATCCATCTGATTTGTTCAGGTCCTTCCAGTTTTCAGTCTTTTATTTTTTGTTTTGCTCAGGTGCTTTGCTGTTCTACTGATTTAAAACAAATGGAGAGCCTTTCCCATAGATTTCATAGATTTGTGCTGCCAACAGATTACAATTCCAAATATTCTTTCATGGTGCATATCAGTGAAAGATGCTTGCATGTTTGCAGAGTACATTGGAGCTTAAAGGCAGGACTTAAATCTGCAAGCCCCTATTCCAAAATGAGCACAAGGGCTTTAAGACAGCCGGTAACTTGTGTTCCTCTAAATGTTTTGGCCTACACCTCCTCTCATATCTGGCCATAGACTTTACTGGCTAGAGCTGATGGGAGTAGTAGGCTAAAACATCTGGAATGCCAGAAATTGCTCACTCCTCCTTTAGGGGATTTTGTTGGGTTATCCTAGTGGGTATGGAGTCTTTCATTTTTGCAGTCCTAGCAATGCTTTGCTATATCAGGTCACTTCTTTTAAACATTCTGCTTTCAAATTGTTCCTTTGTCACTGCCTGAAGAATGGCAGCATTTGAAGCAGAAATGAAACTCGAGTTGTTGCCACTTTTTAAAAGCAACACTCCTTGAAAACAGACTGACAGAGACTTTGCATTTTTCAGTTAGCTGACTTGCAGTTCAAACAAACCTGTGGGAAACCGCAATTCAAATATTTTTTTAACATTAAGATCCCTTTCTTAGTGTTGCATTATTCACTCATTTTTGTGGGTTTTCCAGCTGCAGGGAAACTACCATGAAGCAACTGCTTTGTCATTCCTCTGAGCTCTTTGCCATCAGTCCTGGGTCCTCTTTGCTCCATGACCAAATGGTTCAGCCTTCCCCAAACAAACCCCCCACCAGATGTCTGGGACTACAACACCTACCAACACTTTCTGCGGATTGTGGGCATTGCCATCCAGGGGTGCCTGGTTGGGGAATGTTGACAGAGCTTAGCATAAAGCACAGAATCTTTTTGTATGCTTAGTGATGCCCTTGTGCTCCTCAGTTTGGCTCAACAAAAAATTTCACTCTGTTGACACAACACAGAAATGATACATTTAGTTTATTTCACTGAATGATGATCTGGTTACTGGGTATTATTTATTTTTAACAACTTTGTTCTGCACTTTCTTCAAGGAATCCAAGATAGCATTCATGGTTGTGACCTATCTCCACTTTTCCCTCAGAACTTTTACTCTGACAGCAGCTGGTCAAAGGTCTCTCCGTGTCCTCCATGACTGAGCGAGACTTTTAGCTAGGGTCTCCTCAGTCCTAAACCAGTAATCTAGTTACTATACCATACTGCCTTTCAAGTCTTCTAACAACAGCTTTCCAGCTAGCGACTAATATTCTATCACCCTGTACCTCAACCATCAATCCTAAAGCACAGAGCCTTTGGCAATATTATGACCATATCAACTGGCATCCCCATGCAAAATTTCCCCATGCCCATAAAATTTAGTGCAACACCCAGCTGTGCTAGGAGCATATGCACACTTCTCTGCCCACCAATCTCTGTCACTGGTATTCACACCATTGAGAGTGTAGAAACATGGCCCTGTGACTCCCGTGGCATGTTGTACTCACCTGGATGAGGTTGGCGGGCCTTACTTTCCTTTGAAAAGAAGACCTATAAACGAGGCTGAAGTGTTTGCTTGAGATCCACAGAGCACTTGGCATACACATCTGTCCAAGGCAGCCATGTCCAGAAGTGGAACACAGCAAGCCTTCTACTATCAAGGGGCCATGTTACAATTTCTCAGAAACACACAGTGTAGCACTGCTGGTGTGCACAGGGGAAAGTCCTTACAGGTGATCTGCCAGGTTATTGTGCGTTGTAATTCTGTTTGTATAAACATGTGCCTGATTTTATAAACACTGATGGGTATTAATTTTGATTATGTTATATATTACATTGCATGTGAATCCTCCTGTCTTCCAAGGATTAAGTGGCATAATGGGGGAGTTATACTATGCTATCCTTATAAAAGTCCTGCAGACTGTCTCTTATACATTATGATATTCAGTGCAGACTGTCTCTTATACATTATGATATTATACATCAGATCTTCAGGCCTCCTGTGGGTGCCCTCTCCAGCTTAGATAACAGAAGCAGTTCTCAGGAAAAGAGGACCTTCTTTGTGGTGGCACCACAATTGTGGACTGCTTTCCACAGAGATATTTCGCTGGTGCCTTCCTTGTTCTTTGAGGTGAAAGAGCTTCTACCTCCCCATCCTCAAGATAATTAGATACAACATTCATGTCTCTGACTTTTTATATTGTTCTGGCAGCCTTTTAATTTATTATACTTGGTTTGTATTTGTTTTAGCCTTTCTTGTAAACCATCCTGGGAATATGATGGAGAAGTGGTATAAACATGCCATCAGCAAATAAGTAAAAATAGGTTACATTTAGAAACAGTTACTAGCCTGAGTTTTTCGACTGAGCTACTTCTCTCCTCAGGGATTTATAAGCAGGCTTCCTCAGTCCAACACATTATTTACTTCACCAATGTGGCGTTTGTACTGGCTTAATGGCTCTCTGTGCTGGTGCTGCAGCATTGTAAGGATTTCAGTATCTAAAGATAGCTCCTCTGAAGCTACAATACAAGAAAGGTTTAATAACGCCTGACAGCTATGACAGAGAAAGAATTTCACACACATGAATACAGAGGCAAGTACTATTTTTAGGATGCTGGAGCTAAAATAGACAGCTGAATAATAGATTTTGAGTGGTCTATGTGGTAAAGTGGGTGGGTGGGGTTAAACTAGTTGTTTCTTGAGTTTGACCTTCCTTCAAATTTAGTTAAAAACTATGATGTCAAAAGGTTAATGTAAAAGACTATATTTAATGTCACATGAGTATTTTGTTTTAACTTCAAAGTGTCTACACACAGTAACATTTCTTTTGTAGAAGACATATTCTTCTGTAATGGCTGTTTGAATATAAAGGAAGGTCTATCTTCAGAGTAAAGATACAAGAGCAAAGTATAAAGTTTTTTTTAATCAACTATAATATTTGCAGTCTGCTTGTACAAGCTAACACAGTGAGGTAGCAGATCCTAGGATTTGGTCTACACTCCATAACCCTTAGATATCTGGCATAAACACATTATAAATCACCATTTCTCCTCTAGCAGTTGTCAGACAACAACTCCCACCTCACAAGTGTAATGAATGATCCTGCAGAATGTAATCCCTTGCATATTTATACAGAAAAAAACGTGCAACTCCCATGATTGGTTGGGATATACTGGGAGTTTAGGACTGTTTTCTGTCTAAACATGGATTGTGCCCTAATTAGCTATGTGGGTTGAAGAGCCCTACAGTTCGCATTCAAAATCCAAATATGAACTGAAATAACAAGAGCTATTAAGAGTGGACATTTTCTGTGAAAGTGCCTTGCTCTGTTTACTCATTTTTTCCTGCATGATATGGCAAGCAATCCACTTTCTCATGTTTTATCTTTTAGTTTCTATTTCTAAAAATCTGAAATTCCCTAATTTGATGGAATAGCTGCTCCATCTCCTTAAGTTCAGATGTCTGTTCATTTGGGCTGGGTAGTCAAAATGGCAGCTATGCATACCTCAACCTCAACAAAAATTAAATAACCTACAGTTAGCACCACTTTTGTGTGACACCTCCCATGGTTTGTTCATGGGCAATAATCCATAGTTAACTTATTGTGCAGTGTTTGCATGTTACCACAGCTGCACAATTCAAAGCAACCCATGCTTCAAGGACAACCCATGCTCAGTCCATATTCTGGGATGTTCTTATGTCCATTGTCAACTCAAATATCACCAAAATGTGCAAGCTTTTGAGATCTTCAGATCAGTTCCTCAGGCAAGATGTTACAAAAAGCAGGTGCAAGGGGAGCTGGCAGGATGGGCTGAGGAAATGTTGACTAGTTTTTGTTTTGTTTTTTTAAGTTGGGATGACTATATGTCAGAGTCTGAAGAAGATCTGGAAGAGTAGGGATTGCAGGCATTCAAACAGGGCTGTGCCTAGTGGTGTGATGAATTCAGTGTCCCATTCACAGCTTTATTATGCACATGATGGAGCCAAAGTTAGGCATTTTTAAGTTCCATTGGTTTCAAACACAAACAACACTCTCACTGAACCCTGACCCTAACCCATAATTTTGGCTGTATTGCAATCTCTGCGGTTTTGGGCGGGGCTTGCAGTCATATTCTTATTTTACGTTTAGTTGTTTTAGTTTAGTTTTATTTGGCTGTTGAAGTTTCATAGAATAAGGGCTGAGAAAGGACTTACAATGATTGTAATGTGTAACATCCTGAAGGTATTTCAGATGCCACCAAGCCAGCCTTGTTTCTTGTACCTTTATTAATACTACATTGAATAATAGTTGCCTGTAAAAGAATGGCATTTGAAGGGAGGAACTGCAAAGTGCAGCATGTCCTGCAGTGATGGCCATGCTATTTTGGATGGCTGGGTGTAGGACTGTGACCTGCCCAGTCAAAGTGGTTTGAAAAACCCCTCCATTATAATAACTCACAGTAAATTAGGATAGGAGTGGAATGACATGCTGAAATGCATCCTACTTGTACCAAAATCTGGTTAATGTGAACATATGATTCGGTCTAAGAGACTGAACTAGAACTTTTAAAAGGGCTCTACAAAAGCTTCATTATTGTTCAAAGCTTAAGGACCATTTGAAGAAAACCTATTAAAAGAAATTTTTCATTAGTCATACCAAAAGATTGCAGGGAAGCCAGAGGGTGAATGTGACAGTACATATTTGTGTCCTCAATATCCCTGTGGTAGATAAATTGTAGGAATGTGGCAAACAGATCTGTGATGGGAGCTGTTTGAAGTACTGGTACTGCACAATCAAAGGATGCTTCCGGTCTTACAAACTTGGCTGTTTTGGGCATGACCACATAATTTATAAGGTCTTTGACCACTAGAGAGGTTTATCAGTCCTTAACAGTGACACCAAGAATACAGCATTGCTTGAGGTTGGTTAGTAATCATCTAGCAACGTTTCCTGGATTATTTGATTGTGCTGAACCACAAAATGCCTCATTTGACAGACTGTTCTTACTCCCAGGTGAGTCATCAAAAGTAGGGGCTAGCTTGGGTGCTGAGTAAATACTTGTTTTTCCTCTACCTGTTCAAAGGTTGTTTTCTGTAGCAAATGTCTCTATTGCTATAACAATATTTTACATTCTCACATTTACTATCAGTATGCTCATATGTATGCTTTGGATATGTTCATATATAGTTTTCAGTGCTGCCAAGATTGTAAAACACTGTTCAATGATACACAGAGAATACTTTATATTCTGGGTCATGTATATGAATTATATTGCTTCTCAAAATATTTATATGGGTAGAAAATTAGCAGTGGAAAATAATTATTTTAGAGATGAAGGAAGGCAACATAATTTGGAATTCTAAAAGGCTGTGATTCTGTAATTTTCCGTGAAAGCAGCAGCATTAATTTAGATAGGACTACTAGTGTCCTTCACATTGGGCTGGGGTTCACATGATCAATGCAGCCCAACATGGCTATTTTAAACATGGTGAGTTATGGCATTGGGTGATGGCTGTTGCTTATCATGTTATGCAAACCTGGTGAGGGCAGCTTATATGAAGCTTAAACAATCCTCACATAACCCTAAAACAGCATTTCTTTAACCCGTGCATAAGCCATACACGCCAGATTTGCTCGACAATCTACTATGGCTTGAACATTCAGGATGTCTTCTGGCTTGTGCTGCAGCTTACCTTAAATAATCCATGATGAGCTGTGGTGATTGTGTGAACCTGGTCATTTTGGTATCCAGCTGAAATAACATGCTTGCATTTTAATGATGAACCTTAGTGGGTATAGGCTTTAAATAGAAATAGAGGTTGTGGACCAAACTACGGACTTTGCTCATACCAAAGGCACAGTATTTATCAAGAGCTCACAATGTTCTTCTCTTACAGGTCCAGACTCACTTGGAAAATCCAACAAGGTATCACATTCAGCAGACTCAAAGGCATCAAGTGAAGCAGTTCCTGACCCTGGATACCAAGCTGTCCAGCCAAACTTTGTCACTTTCTCATTCCCATTCCATCCATTCTTCTGCAGCTGCACCCATATTAAGGAGTGGGCATATGCCACCTACCAGTGATATAAGCACCTCTGGAAGTCCAGTGACCAAACTGCTGACACTTGGAGGAGAACATGAAAATGCGGTATGGCATATAGCTATGAGATCAGCTAAAGTGCTGTAAATATTGGTTGCCAAATGAAGTTGACAGGTTTGAGGAAAGGTCTCCAGTTTGTTCAGGATTGCTGTGAGCTAAATCAAAATGCACACCGTGTTAATTAAGAGATACTTTGGAGGATAATTTATTGAATAGGATTTTGAGGTTTATGCATTAAAATCCATGCAATCATTGTGCATTTTGACCACCACAACAATAATCATTTATGGTTCTTTAGTGGCTTTAGAATAATTGCTTAAAGATGTGTTTTATATGAATAATCATATAGTTAAGGATTATTAACTTTAGACAGATATCAATCTATGCTTAATGAAAGGCCAATGTGAAAGAAAAAGGCAGTAGAGTACTTCATTGGAGCTCCTTGTTCCAGAAAAATTATTTACTATTATTAATTATTTTATAGTGCAGATTGTATAGTGAGAGTATAGCTATACTCCTGGAGGCCACTAGAAATCCCCCTTTTTATGTAAGGATTATTATAGAATGGAAACAGAAAGTGTCTTCTTCCCCATTTTCATAATTTCCCGTATGTCATTGAAAATTTTCCTTGCACTAGTCTGAAGTTACTTAAGCTGTAGGGTTGAGATAAATATTCTCATGTTTCAGTTTCTGGGCCAAAATGCTAATTTTAAAGAGTAAAAAAAAAAAAAAAAAATCTAACTGCCTTGATTGTCGGGCTAGTCAGTTTTTCAGTCTTGTTCAGAGCTATTCTTTGCATTGTCTGCTTTGGACCATGTTGTTTCCTACTTACCATTTTATTATTTTTCTGAATTACTCACAGGGATGATCATAGCCCATCTAGGATGGCATAGCAAATGGGATGTTGTTATTGCACTATGTTGCCAAAGAGTTAGGACTATGCGAAGTTCCTCAGGGCAAACAAAGTCATTTGAGAGGGAGGGAAATGCTTTCAAATTAGTTATGTTAATCAGGATCACCAGTGGACAGGAAAGGATCACAACATCACCAAACAATTCAGATTTGGCTAAAAACACATTAATGTAACTGAGAGAGGAAGAAAGAAGGGCAATGTGAAATAATATTTTGCAAGCGTTTCCCTAAAACCATCATATTGCGGGGAGGGGGAGTGATTTTGGACATTTCTGAACTCAGTCCACCATTGTTATTGTTATTGGGCTGTTCTCCATTCAGGTGTTATATAAAAAGTATGCCCTGCTCTTCCTCCAAATTGCTTAGAGTGACTTACATATGGTTTCCTGGTGGTCTTCCATATGAGTAGCTTAAAGGATCCACTGTGCTTGGCTTCAGGAAGAAAGCAGCATCATGTACATTCAGACTATTCTGTGAAAGTAACTCTCTTCTGAAAGAGAGAATCTGTTTATATGGAATTAGTTGCTTGGATTTGATTTAGTGTTGTTGATACATAAGTCATTAGTTTGAGGTTG